TCTCACTCAAATGTTCGGTGACCGCATGGTGATTGCTAATGCTACCGGTTGCTCCAGTATCTGGGGTGCTCCTTACGGTCCCACTCCTTTCACTACGAGATACGATGGGACTGGTCCCGCCTGGGCAAACAGTCTTTTCGAAGACGCTGCAGAATATGGTATGGGTATGGCTGTGACCACCTCTGTCCGTCGTAAGGCGCTCAAGGCTCGTGTACAGGAACTTCTTCTCGAAGGAAAGGATAGTCCGCTCTCGCCTGAGTTGTACACCCAGTTGAATGAGTGGGTTGAGAACTTCAGGAATCCTTCTGTGTGCGCCGCTCTTTCCAAGTCTCTCCCGCCTCTTCTCAAGGCCGAAGCCAGTAAGGATCCTGCTATTCAGGAGATTCTTGATGTGTCCGATTTGATTCCTAAGATCTCTAACTGGATCATCGGTGGTGATGGTTGGGGTTATGATATCGGTTATGGTGGACTCGATCACGTCATTGCTTCCGGCCAGGACTTGAACGTCTTGGTTTTGGATACTGAGTGCTACGCTAACACTGGTGGTCAGAAGTCCAAGGCTACTCCCATCGGTGCTGTTGCCAAGTTCGCGACCAAGGGTCACGAAGTCGAGAAGAAGAATTTGGCTGAAATGGCTATGGATTATGGCACTGTGTACGTTGCCAGTGTTTCAATGGGTGCCAATTACGATCAGACCTTGAAGGCTTTCTCCGAGGCCGAGGATTATGATGGTTGCTCTGTTATCGTGGCTTACTCTCCCTGCATTGAGCATAAGAACCTTGATGCTATGACCCACACTATGCAGCATCAGGCGACCGTTGCTGCTTCCGGCTACTTCCCGATCTATCGTTATAACCCGATGTTGAAGAGGATGGGCAAGAACCCCTTCGTTCTTGATACCAAGAAGCTCACCATGGGTGTTGATGCTGTCCTCGACAACGAGATGCGTTTCGGTGCCTTGAAGAAGCGTGATGCCGATTTGTACAAGAAATACAGGTCTGAGCTTGATGCTTGGGTCCGTGAACGTTACAGCAAGTACCAGAGATGGGCTGCTTTGGGTCAGGAAGATATCTCTAATGGTGTTCCGCTAACTCTTCTGTACGGCACCGAGACCGGTACTACCGAGGCCTTGGCTTATCGTGTTGCTGAACTGGCCCGTCAGCGTGGTTACGCTGTGAAGGTCATGGAGTGCGATGAGATGGACGTGAGTGAGCTCCCTGAAAACAAGAACCTTATGGTTCTTTGCGCTACTACTGGTGAGGGTACCACTCCTAGGACTGCCCTTCACTTCACTGCGCAGTTGCAGCTTGCTGCTAAGGACAACTCCAATGCTCATCTGGTGGACAGTGTCCAATACGGTGTCTTTGCTTT